CCCCAAAACCCCAAAACCCCTAGATATTAGATTTCTAAGGTTCTAAGAAGTTTAGCAATTATTTAAATGAAAATTAATCACAATAAAAAGCTTTTGTAAATTTCAGGTTTTGTCTATTGTGAGCCTAATACACTTCTCATAACAAATAAATTAGAATCTAGACCATTTCTATCTATAAATCCATAATAATTATCGAAGAATGGAGTATCTAGAAATTCTGTTGGCAATTTAACTTCAATCAATCTCGTGCAGAGTCCTAACCCCTCTGCAAAATTAACCATATATTATTTTACTCCCTCTTTATTTTAATTCCTTTTCTAATATTTCTCATAGTCATCTGATGAAATTGAAGTAAATGTTGTCATTGTCATTAACTATAGATCCATGCACTCTTTATAAATTTCAATTTAAAGATACCTCAAATTCTAGGAAATAGCTGATAGCATGTCACCAAGAGCATTAATAGAGTTAAGTGAGATATAATCAAGATGAAGTTTTAGTTTTTGGAGGTTATTAAAAGTAGAGAGAGCATGAATATCCTCTAAGTTATCGTGAAACTCAATGCCCATATCTGGGTATTTCTGATATAGGGCACATTGTATCTTCAGTTTCCTCAGAATTTTTGGGTTAAGATGAATCAATAGACTAAATCTTTGTTAAGAATCAGATTTAGTTGAAACATAAGCAAATGAACGAAGCTGTTTTCCGATCCTCGATACTAAATTTTCAATTAGTTGAAAGCTACCTTCACCTGTATCCTAGATGGATAAAATCTGTAAATTTTTGCAATTCTCAAGTGGAATTAGGGAATCTTTATTTTTGTTATTCAAAAGTACTTAATTTAATTTGAAGCTGATCAAATTAGGCTGAATTCCTAGTGATTTTATGAGCTTATCAAATTGTGATTTAATAATGTATGAGGATTCTAGCTTGAATTTTTTTACTCTATGATTATCTACTAAGTAAGAGATTTTTCTATTATCATTGATAGATGCATTTTAAATGGTAATATTTTCACCCAGAAATCCTTTCATTACATTAGCAAAAGCATTTTATTCATTTCCTTCATACATATGAGAATCTTTGCTTATACAAAACTTTAGGTCGTGTATCCTTCTTCCCATTAATTCATCAATAAGATTGAAATCAGCAGTTTAGTTGTTAATTACTTTTTTATCAGAAAGGTCAGTTATTTTTTGGAAGCAGGAACCTCTCATTTCAAATTAAGTAAAATAAGGAGTACTTCTTAGAAATGCAGTAAAATAGTAAAACGAATATGTTGTTAACTTAGTATTTATCAGTCTAAAATGTGTAATTTTTGCAGGTTTGCGCTTTAAACCCATCCAAAATTGCTCACCAAAGTCGTAGTTGTTTGAAGAATCTTTTATTGTAAGCTTCTTAAGTGACTGGTTTAATTTGAAAAAATTGCCCCATATATTATCGATTTCAGGAACAAATATAATGATTCTTTCCAATTTTAGTGATTGAATATTCGGTGTGTTTTACAAATAATTGCAAATATTCTCATGTACTTTTACTATCTTCAATTTAAAACTTAATGCAAATTTTAATGTCAAGTGCTTAATTGTCGTAGGCAAAATCTAATAGAAAGTATTTTCTACATAGCAAGGCTAATCAAGGTTTACTTCAAGTGAAAGTCTTATTATATTTCTAAAAATCTCGTTTTAAGCTAAGCACGGATAAATCTAACTATATATAGTTCCTGATGTACTTAGGTTTTAAATATTCCTGACTCTGCTTAACAATTCAGAGAGATGAATATTTCTTGTCTCTAAATATGATATTTCATCATTGACCTGCTATGACAAGATCTTAAGAGTAGTAATTTAAGCCTTATGAAGTGGGTTCTCAACTAAAAAGTTTATGAATGCCTACAATTCTTCGCATCCAATTATTTTGTAAAACCCAACTCTTTTTGAACTATATTAAATTCTCTTCAAGCATTCTCTTATCAAAGTGTTGCAAGAAATCTCAATTATTTTGGGTGAATTTTTGTCTATGATAAGAATATCAGAAAACTCAGTTGAAATCTTTACGTGTTACTAATAAAACCTTTTTCCTCCTTTGAATAACATAGCGAGCATGCCTTTAAGAATGCATTTGCTTGAGACATACTGTAGCACTGTGCAGAAGCATCCAATGCTAGGTAAATGTGATTTCAAAAGATAATTTTTATCTGACAATGATTTTTCCATGTAAAATTTAATATAAAATTTATTTTAATTTATTATATGAAGAATTTATACTTATTTAAATTGAATCAAATTGCTTTAATTGATTCTAAAGGGGGGTTTTGGGGTTTTGGGG